ATGTTTCTCAGCAACCCATGCCTGTAAGGATTCATCCTCCTCCTGCCCTCCCATGCTTTCTCCCAGAACCGATTTTGAAGACACGCATCGCTTATTAATATGCCAAGCTTTGTGTTGCCTTTTATCACCACTGGAACAGATGGCTGGGCTTGGACCGCTGCCCTTCGCTTGCAGATAGGCTGGTTTGTTTGGTGGCAGTGGTGAGGACTGGTACGAGCTGCAGGAAATGTCCCTCTGTGAGGCAGGAAGAGGGGACAGACGGCGACAGGCAGCTGCCCGTGCGTTAGGCTAGAAGAATGGCTGTGGAGCCAAGGGCTGTTCATAAACAGGGCTGCTGGAGATGATCCCAGTAATGTGCTTGGGTGATGCTTAAGAAGGTAGGACACGCTTGGCAGAGAGCCACACTGCAAGGATGGTCCCCTTCATGTCCTTGGAGGAGGGCAGGTTGTAGCACCTACTGTCCCCTTCTCAGGATCAGGGTGTTGTCTGCAGTTTTAATGTGGTGGGACTCACTTTGTCATTTTGCATAGGGCTGGCTTGAAAGGAAAGATACCCACCCTGTTCCTGGAGCAGTGATCCTCCCAGCCCTGCAGACAAGGACAATGGCTGAGATTGGTTGTCCTGGTGATCTCTGGTCCACAGCTCCCTGCCCATCACGTCTGTGATCCAGACAAGCCAGCAATTACCTGTCCCCGAATCCAAGCAGGCAGTTCCCCAATCAGCCTGTGATGTTTCTGGGGTGCTCACACATCTGTCAATCTTCTCAGCTCCCTGCTGCGCCTCCTGGAAAGCTGCTGTGGCATTACACTCCAGCAGAGCCACCTCTTCCATCCCTGTGAGCACAGTGAGAAGCTTTGGTGGGTGCCATTCTCACTGAGGTCCTGGTTATGTCTTGGCTCCAAGCTTGAGCATTCATGCAGTACAGCCAAAAGCCCCTTAAGCAGATGGACTAGTGGTCTCTTCCAACCTTAATGATTCTAAGCCTATGGCCGCCTTGCTGTGCATGTCTTCAAACAGAAGAGGTGGGAATTTTTTTTTAAGGACTTCCCTTCATTTTCTGTCCATTTCTCCTTCTTCCAGCAGGGAAGAGGTGGAGTTCTCAAGAGCAAGGAGCCAATTAATTTCAACTGGTCCAGCAGCGCTTGGTCTGGGCAGACAGTGTGCTAATCACCATCTTGACAGTGGGAGCTTAAATTAGATTTAAGGAGCACTTTCAAGTAACACGGCTGACCCTGCCGATAAGGCTTTATGAAGCACATATTAAGAGATGCTAAAGCCTGTCTTCTCTTCTCTTGAGCTGAAAAATAAGGTCCAGTGCAGATGGGGCACTGGGAAGCAACAGAGCTTTAGGGCTGCAAATAAACCTCTCATGTTAGATGTTGAGCAGCAAGGGTATTGTTGTCTGTTTTCCTCCATTTTGAGGAGAAGTGTAATCCTTGTGGGGACCAGTGATGGGATGTCTCTCTGTCCCATGCAGCTCTCACATGGGACAGCGGTAGCATGGGCTCTGTGAACAGAGGGCTGGCTGAGCAACCACGGGTGGCTGTGGTCAGCCTTTTCCTGTCGATCTGGTGCCCAGGAGGTGTCTGCTGCATCTCCAGTGCAGATGCACTGTTTGCAGTCAGTGTCTGCAATATAGGCGTAGCATCATGTCCCAGCAGCAGAGAAAGTTGTCACATCTCCTCAGGATATAGGTGTTCTGGGGTGTCCGTAGTCAGCACCTGCACTGCAGGCATACCATAGCATTTACAGCCAGCATCTGCAGGACAGGTGTGCTGTAACATCAGCAGTCAGCATCTGTAGTGCAGGTGTGCTGCAGTGTTGTTACGGGCACGTGCAGTGCAGGCAGAGCTTCATGCCTACTGCTGGTGCAGGTGTAGCACAGCAGCTGCAGTTGGTGTCAGCAGTGTGGGCTCATCACAGTCCAGAGCCCATGGACGGCTCTTGGCAGAGCTGCAGTGGAGACATACAGGGAGGAAATGAGTTAATTGAGGTTTTGGGGTTTTTTTCTCTTCTGGATCACCACTTGAGAGCTGGGCCCTGTAACAGCAGAGCTGGGGGAATTTCCTGACAGAAGGCTGTCGTGCAGTCATGAGGTTTGGAAACCAAGGCTTCTTCTGCACATTTCTGGCAGATGCTCGCAGGATGGCCGAGCAGCTTTCAGCAGGCCATAACTGGTTGCTACCTCATTAACCAGCAAGTGTCTCCATGGCTTTGAGGATCACATTAACAGGAGGTGGGAAAGGATCTCAGCCAGTGCAGAAGAGGACCCTGGGACTGTGCAGCAGAGGCTGGCATTTTGTTTTCTGGCTAGATACCTACTCCCCATCCTGCTGCCAGTCCCACCCCATCACACCACTCCAGTTCACATCCCATCACTGTGCCCCTCACCCCAGTTCAGGGGCACTTGGGTCTTGTCTTCACATCTTAGTTCTGGCCACATCTTGCTTACAAAGGGCCTGTCTGACCCGCTGGAAACACGTTTGGATAGAATGAGAACTGCTGGAGTGGATCATGCTCATGTCCACATTGAAACAGTCTCTAAGAATGACCATCAGAGCTCCACTTTCCACTCTGCTGCCAAGAAATGATTCACCACAGGGGCAAAAGCAAATATTGTCCGAACTGCTTTTCTGCAGAAGATTGAGTTCCCCACCACTGGGTTTGCTGTGATATAAATGTGGTTCCCTGCTGTCACCTTTCATATGTTTCCTGCAGGAACAGGGACACAGCCCAGGGTCCCTTCTGTTCAAGCATGGATGGTGCTCTGCTGTATGCTGCCCCATGCACCTGCCTGCCAGGGTGCAGGCATCTGTTAGAAACAGCATTAGATGAGCACATGCAGCCAACGGAAATTTGCATTGGAAGCATCTGCAGAAATGTTGGAGGTTTTGTTATGTGTTTGGAAAAAGAATAATAATGGCTTTGGGCAAAACAGGCAAACGAAGCAAATGCTGCATGGGAAATTGTGATTTGAGTAAGAAAAAGTTGGTTTTCTCTCTAGATTTTTCACACTGAAATAGCTCCTATTCCTGCCTGGCTGCAAGGCTTGTCTCTGAGATGAAATGGAGATTTTCAGGGGCAAAAACAGCTGAGCAGTGGGATCTCTGTGCCGGCAGTGGGCACTGTGGGCTCCCAGAGGACCCTGGCCATTTCCCTACTCTATTCTGCCCTTGTAAACCGAGCAGCATCACCCTTGAGAATCCCCTCCCTCTGGTACTCATCTGTGCATGGGTCTTGCCTCAGGGGAGGCTTCCAGGCAGGCAGGCAGAAGCAGCAGCAATTATTTTAATGACTTGATAAGATGAGGAGCAGGAAGGGTGGGAGGCTGTGATCCCCAGGAGAAGCAGTAGATGTGAGATTGGGAGTGCAATGCTTGGTATAGCATCAGCACTGAGGCTGCAGTGAGCAGGGTGATCTCTTGCGGGCTGCATCCCCGCTGGGATGGGGACACGAATGGCAGCAGTGTCACATAGGGTGTGGTGAGGTTGAGTGCAGGATGCAGACTGGGGAGCAGCGTGAGGAAAGAAGGAGCAGAACAGAAGCACAGTGTAATAATGTAGTAATTAGTGGTAAATTTCCTCGACCTGAGCTTTCAAAGGCCAATATATCTACTTTGTAGGTGGGGAAACTGAGGCACAGGGAGAGTGATTTGTTCACAGTGACCCGGGAGGGCTGGGGCAGGTGCCATCTTGTGTGGGGATCTCTCTCACCACCAGCCCTTGTGGTGCAAACCTATTGCCATCATTCCAGCAGCAATGTCCTGTCTCTTCTCTGCGCTCCCCATTTTCAGTGCCCCTATTGCTCCCCTGGAGAGGCATTAGGAGCTGGGCTGGTACCACTGCCCTGCAAAACCTGTGCACCCAGCCATGCTTGCTTTCCTACCCAGCCCACCAAATATCATGTCCTGCTGCGAACTCGAAGCCATCTGGGCTCCTGCATGGGCTGTGTTGGTAAGGGAATATGTTTTGCTGGGTTTTTTTTTTTTTTTTTTTTTTTGCTGGCCGATGCAGCTCCTGCTTTATTTAGGTCTAAATGGATGCCATCTGGCTAACGAGCCTATACTCATGTTCTAGATTAAAAGGCAATCCTCTGCGCGTTACCAGTACGACGCTTTAGATTAGAGAGGTTTAAACGGTTGTGAAGGTGTAATTTGCTTTTCACGCAGTGCTGTTCACCTCCTGGCAGACAGGCTGGCAGCACTGCCACCCCAGCAGCTCCCTCCTGCTCTGGTCCCCTGCATCAACCCTATTTGCTGTGTGACCAGGGAGGGTCATGCTGTTTCTTGTGATCCCAGAAAGGCTGCAGCAGGGATGGCATCTGCATCTTGCATATCCTAAGCACAGAGCATTGCCATGAAGAGATGGGGTATGGCTCCATCTTTTATGAAGAAAAGATAACTCCTTGTTGCTTATCTTGGTTGGGTTACACGTGCCTCTCTGTAGACCATTTGCAGGCAGATGCTGAAGGGAGCCCAGCCCCAGGGCTTGACTTCTTGGGGAGAAGTTGAAAAGCAGAGGAGGAAAAGAGAGCAGTTGTGCAAGGTGTATCATAGCCTGCAGGCACCTGAGTCTGCTGGCAGCTCTGTTGGAAAGTGCCACAGGCCATGGAACCATGAAGTGTGTGGTGACAGAGCACCTCCTTTTGCTATAAGTTCTCCCATTGCAGAGCTGAAATCTTGCTGCATGGCATCACAGAATCACAGAATGGCCATGGTTGGAAGGGCCCTCAAGGATCATAGATCTCCAAAATCCCCCTGCCACAGGCCACCAACCTCCCTATTTAATACTAGACCAGGCTGCCCAGGGCCCCATCCAATGTGGTCTTGAACACATCCAGGGAAGGGGCATCCACAGCCTCTCTGGGCAGCCTGTTCCAGCCCCTCACCACTCTCATGGCATCCCCTTGCTCCTGCCATGCAGGGTCCAGCTCTGGGTGCACTGCTTGCAAGCTCTCCTGTGGCAAATCGTGACTGCTTCTGCCTGTGCTTGCTTCCACAGATGGCCAATCCTGTCCCGTCAGCCTGCTGCGTGGTGCTCGCCGTGGTGGTGGTGGTGTATGCTCAGAGGCACAGCCAGCAGGGTGAGTCTTGTCCCAGCTCCAGGGGGATCCCAACAAATGCGGGTGCTGCTCTTCTGGCCTCTTTCCTAGCACAAGCTGGGTGTGCTTTCCGCATTTGCTTGGTGTTATATTTGTGGATGTCATTGTTTTCTCCTCTGCTTGATGTGTGCATCCCCTCCTGCCTGTGCTAGGGATTTGGGTCCTGTGTCCCACCAGCACCTGCTGGTCCCCCTTGGTGCACTTCCTCCTGCCCACACTCCTGCTTGTTCCAGGATGCCCCTGCAGCCTTTCCCATCCCTTTTCCTCATGTTCCCATGAAGGGAAGGGAGGCTGGGAAGCAGAGTGTGACAGCTCCAATGCCTCACACCCAATCCCATGGCTATCAGTGCTGCCCCATTGTGCTGTGATTTCCTTGGGGTGATTTTGTCCTCACCTCGCATCTGCACCCACCATTAGCTCATGCCTCTCTAGGTGAGCAGAGGATCTGGGGCTTCAGAGAGACGATATTTTAGAGTCATTGATGGCACTGGGAGCTGGAGGACCCCATGCCAACCTGGGTCCAGATCTGAGCAGGATGTTTTTGGGCAACTGTCTTGGTTTATCTATGGAGTCACTTGTGGGAGCCCTGTAAAAGAGAACAGAATGGGGGGCCTCCATGGTTTTCCTGACAGCCAGCAGTTGCTTTCAGTGGGTTATAGGGTGGAATTTTGATGGCTAGCTCTGATAAGAATACCTGTGCATTCGTGAACTTGGAGTTGTGGAACCCTGCAGGAGCACCTTACTGACCTGCTCTAAATTCAGATGAGTGGTTTTGTGCAGCCCTGCAGCTGGGATTTGGTGGCATGTGGGTTGCTTGTTTTCCTTGCCCAGAGCTCACCTCTTTCTTATAGCTGCAGCCTCCCCTCATTCCCTGCCCTCATCCCCTGTCTGCACTTGCTGCTTAGGCTGGAGAAGTGGGGCTGGAAGATGAATGAATCCCACTGATGGCAGTGACTGGATGGAGTGGGGGAAGATGCAGGTGTAGAGTCCATTTATCATGCTCTTGAGGCACGTTCAACTTTAATAGCTCATGAAGCACTTTAAGAGATGCATTAGCACTGAATACGTGAGCGAGGAGGATGTGACAAGCTGTTAAGCAAGCAGGAGCACAGCGCAGTGAGGCTGGCCACCCGCTTCTGGCTCTCACGTGCACACTGGTGATTACTGGAGCGTCCTGCAAAGTGCCACATGAATTTATAAAAGCAGCATTGGATGCAGCAGTGGTGAGGTTGCTCATGTGTTAACTCCTCCACTGCTCATCTTTGTTCCTTCTCCTTGGAGCTGGAGGAGTGAAGGGCACATTTCTTTTGGATACGGCTCCCCAAGCCCTAAGGTTTTTGGGGTGGAGATGGTCAGACCTGAGGGGACATGCATTAACTGCCCTTCCTCCATCCCTCCCTAGGACAGTCTTGCTCCAGGGAACAGTTTGCTTCTGGCAAACCAGTTTGGTGATACCCACGCCATGCTTACTTCACCTGAGCATGGGTTAATAACCACCATGCCTGAGTACACGACCCTGCCTAACTACCAGCCAGCAGGATCCCCCCCTTCTGTACTGCTCCTTTCCTTGGTATCCATGGTAGATTGCTAAAGGTAAGTGTCAAGCAGGAGACACAAGGATGGATTACTCAGTGGGGCTGGATGGAGGTTGCATGGTGTGCTCACTGTCCATCCCACTGCTACCAAAGCAGTCACTGCACTGTGGATCCCATCATGCTGGGTGGCTGTGCTGCACACAGTATGCTGCACCAGCATGAGTGGTGCTGCAGCAATCCGTGCAAGAGGCAGCTCTTAGGTCTTAGGTGCCGTGACCAGAGAGAGCCCTGTCCCCATCTGTCAGCCTTGCCAGAGTTATATCCGCAGCTGTTCCAGATTGAGATTTCTCTGCTTTTAAAAGAGGAGTAATTCTGTTTTATTGATCCTCACCTTGCTGAATTAACTCATGTTTAAACAATAATTATGTTTTCACGTGGGAGAGGAGAGAAAGAGATGAACATCTCTGGAAATTAATGCATTTCAGGCGCCGCAAGCTGGGGTTAATTTATTGATGAGCGGAGGAGCCACTATCACCACTGTTTCTCACCAGTAACAGGCAATTAGCCCCCATCCTTCCTCAACCGAGGAAAAGACAGGGATTTTGTTTCATCAGTTTCCCTCCTCTCCTGCTCCCTTCAGCCCCAGCACTAATCGTTTGCAATCGGTTCTGCTGCAAAGCGTCCCAAGAGCTCCCGTCCGCACGCGCCTCGTTAGAGATGCTGCCCACATTGCATCTAAGACAAAGCCTGAACCGATAAACAGCCTTTGAAATGCACAGCAAAGCCATGCAAATTGGCTTCTCTGAGAGCAGGTCGACTGTGCATACCTTCTTTTCTCCCCTTTACTTCATGTGATGTTTATGTTGGCTGACAAGGATGTGACCAACTATGTTCCTGCATCACTCGGCCCATGAAGGTCCCTGGAGCATCAGCCTGGCAGGGTTAAACCAGTTGCTTTGCTTCTTCGGGTTTTGCCTTTGTTTCTTTGTAAGGGTGGTGTTATTTTCATACAGGTGCATGGTTGGTTTGTAGACATGCATCTGGTTTTCTGATAGTGATTCAGATGACATGCAGTTAAAGTGCTGGGATGAAAGTCCTTACTGCACTTCCAGTGGGGCCCAGGGGGTTCATTTGTGACAGCTTCTGTACTTACGTTGCCAGATATGATGCTACCCATGTCCTACACCCAGGGAGGACTGAGCCCATGGAGGCATCCAGGAAGATATTCTCAGTGTACTATTGGAGCAGGAGTCTCATGGCTCCTTGATGAGAGATGCATTCAGCACAGCATGCTGACAATGCCTCTGGGCTTGCAGAGCCACTTTACAATGCAGAGTATACTTACATGACAGGTTTTAGGGAGATACGGGACCACTAGAGACCCAATTTGTGCAAGTTTGGGAACAGAGGTGTATTTTTCTGCAGCAGAATAATCTGGAATTTCACTATTTCAGTAGTGCTGGGACAGGAGAAAAAAGTTTGGGATGATTTTTAATTCCCCTTTTTTCTCCCTGTTCACAGCTGGAGTTTTCCTATTCCTGCACATCACTGAATTTCCAGAGCTGGGGCTGTGATCCTCTTCCCTCTTCCATCCCTTGCTGTTTCTCTTGCATCTGATTTTACTTACCTGCTCAGCAGGTTGGACTATCTTAGGATCCTTCTGTGCCCCCCAGGACAAACAGCTTTGCTTCCTCTGATCACTTCAGAAACAGGGTTTGCAAAGCCTCAGGCATCCAGCCATTCTTTCTGCTTGATTCTGTCCCATTATTCGCTGTTAAAAAAAAAAATATCTGAAGCAGAAATATAGTTGTGTGTGTGATTCCTGGGATGACTGTGCACCAGTTCTGAAGGCTGGCAGGGAGTCTGGGGATGCATCCCTCCTGCCTGCCTTCTTGGGCTCTGCTCTGCCAAGGGGCAGATGGTGCTGTGCTTTTCTCTTGCTTTTCCCTGCAGCAGCTGGTGTTCATGTCAACCCAGAACAAGCTTCTTGAGTGCTGGAGTCCTGCTCTGAGCTGGTCCTGGTGACTGACAGCTCTGCTCTGTATCATTCATGTTATAAATAACGGATCTGTAAAACTCTTTTAACAAAGCAAGTGGCTGCGCCGGTGAGATGTGCTGCTGCACAGGTTGCAGGAAACCCAGTACAAGACAGAGGTTTGGGATTATCTTAGACCCTTTCTCACCTCTTTGCTCTTTCAGAGACTCCAGATTCAAGGGAAGCCTCAGCACACGGCCTTTGGACCTCCTTGTGCTTTTCTCTGCTAGATTTCAGGGTACAGATGTTAGCACCAGATAGATACCTAAAGACCCCAGCCGGGCCAATGGCTGGGCTTCTACTCAGCATCCTCTTACTCAAGCCCAATTCTTACCTTTTCCCTATTACTCTTATCAGTCTTCCCTGGTACTGAGTGTTTGTAGCCAGCCCTTCTGAAATGCGTGCACTGGCTCTAAAGCGGCGGTGCGGGAGCAGTCTCTCCAAGCAGAGGTCTATTCTCTGCTTTTATCACGCTATCAGAGTGCCATTCAGTCATGCATTAAGTGACATGACAAACATCTGTCATGTGTTGTTTGTTTGGTTTCCCATCCTTTCTCCAGGGTGAGATGTGTGTGCAATGGAGTGTTTTGGAATTTCTGTAAACGCCCGTACGCAGCTGCTCACTGTTTGTTGTGGGGAAGGCAAGGTCAGAAGGACAACACACACGTGTGAGTGTGACTGCCTTGGTGCAGGCTTCTCTCTGAGTGAGCTCTGCCTTCTTGTTGTCTTGCATGGCATACCTGCCCATGGGTTGAAGATCAAGTAATCTTTAAGGTCCGTTCCAACCCAAGTCATTCTATAATTCTGTGATAGCGCCTTCCCATCTCCTGGCATCTCCATGCATCTCAGGCCATGTTTTGCTCTGGTGTTTCATCTCCAGATGGCTCCTGCAAGGCCATTTTGGAGTTGTCATCCTCCAGACACAGCTCTAACTGTAAATGGGCTCATGGACAATGGACTTGTCCATTCTGCTCTGTACGTTAGCCTTTATGTTCCTTGTAGACTTTTCCAATACCAGCTTTATGCTGCCTGCAAGATAATTGATAAGGCTAGTGATTAGCAGAGGGCCAAGAGCAGATCTCTGCAGGGCCATGCTGGGAACACCCTCCTGCAATGATGACTCCCCATTAACAATTAATTCCCCATTAGCAATCACATTTTTTTAATCTTTCCTGTTACAATTCGGGATGCTGTCATTATCCAGCTGGCTGAAATGTCAGCTTTGCTCAATGCACGAGCTGGTTGCAGAGCACGCCTGGTTGGGAAGCAAGGCTTGGCACAGACTCTACTTGCCCTGCATCCTTCACTCTTTGCAAGCCATCTCAAAGCCAAAATGCTGCTCACATGAGCTTCACGGGGAGTTCAAAGAGCTGGAACCAAGGTATCGTGCTGGATCAATAAGAAGACACATC